TGGATTTCTGGTTTGCGCATTGGGCGGTTTTTCATCATCTGGAGCCTTCAGGGAAGCCTCCGGAAGGTGAAAAATGGCTGAAAATCAAGGCCAAAAATCAAGCCCCAAATTAGCTGGCCAGCACGCTGGACCTGAAAAGGCAATGCCTCGCATGCTGTCAGAAATGGCTCCGTGTGTCACATGTGGCATGGTTCACCATCATGGACATATACCAAGGTAGATCAGCAATAAAATAGTTTATTATAATCTTATTGTTGAGTCTTCATATGTATCAAAGGAATTGCAAGCTGTTGATCATTTCATTTATACAAGCACAGAATTTATGCAACACAGAATTGTTGAAAATTTTGAAAACTCTGGCCTTATGTGATTAATAGTTTTTCTTTGAAATCAATATTAGTTTTTGTGTTCAGTCTATTTTAAAAGTAGCTTAAATGTTTCTATTTAGTATTTTTTTTATAAAATCACTATTCATTTTTTCCTCTGTACTTTTAAAGTACATTTTTTTTAACGTTGATCATAGAATTATAGTGGTTGGAAGCCACCTTAGAAATCATAGTTGTTCTTAAACCAAATCACAAATGAAGGAACAGAAAATGTATACCATATTTTTTGGAGTATAAGACACACCTTTTTCCCTCAAAAAAGAGGGTGAAAATCTGGGTGCATCTTATACACTGAATACAGCATTTTTGACCCCAGAAACCCCACCCCCTTTGCAAAAATGGCCATGCATAGCCTTTAGGAGGCTTCCAGAGTACTCCTGGGGGGCTGGAAAGGGCAAAAATGAGCAAAAAATGGGTCAATGTTTCTTCATTTTTTCCCCCCAACTCCCAAGAGCTGCAAGCCCCCTAAAGGCTATGCATGCCCTTTTTTTGACAAAAGGGCCCATTTTTGCAAAAAACATGCCATTTTGGGAGGTCTGCAGAGTGCAAAAACTTTTTTTTTAAAAATTGCCTCTTCAAAATCTTGGTGCATCTTATACTCTAGTGTGTCTTATACTCCGAAAAATATGGTAGTGACATGTTCTCAACCTGGTAGCATGTGACATTATAATATGTGCTTATGGTAATTAACTTACCACAAATATGGTTGCAGTGAGAAGAGTGGATGAATGACTCTACAGAGCAGTTGAGTGAAGTGGCCCAAGAACTGAATATTTCCTGAAAAATACTATGTAATGCATATTCAGCTGCATTTCGGATTGCTACACTATTCTGTGACTTGGCACCTTCTATAAAATGACATGTAAGATCTAAAACATTAGAGAAACATTATGGAAAGAAAGATTATGGAAAGAGTGCCAGAATACAGATACTTCAGCCTGTCACTAGACCATTGATCTAATCAAGAAACTTTACCTGGACAATGAATTTCATTTGGCTGATTAAATCTATATGTATTTGCCTACATCTTACATGGGCTGCCTTTGGAAGCAAACAGCTTTTTTCCTATGTTGTGTTTATCTTTTTCACATGGAGTGTGCATTTTAACAGTACTTTAGAATGAGTCATTTTTCCAATATGAAAAATGCTACTCATCATCTGTAGTTTTATGACTGTGGGTATTAAACATTCATTCCCCTCCTTTAGCTTTTGAGAAGTTAAAACGACTTTTTGCCGAGGAACTGGTTCTGAAGCACCCGGACGTGGACAAGCCGTTCGTGGTTCAAGCTGATGCCAGCAACGTGGTGGTGGGGGCCGTATTGCTTCAGACCAACGATCAAGGTAAATTACAACCTTGTGCATACACCTCTTGCAAACTCACTGACACAGAAAGACGTTGGGCGATCTGGGAGAAAGAAGCATTTGCTGTTCGTTGGGCTTTAGCCACATGGCACCATTTCCTAGAGGGCGCTAAGCACCCGTTCGAGGTGTGGATTGACCATAAGAATTTGGAGGCTTTGAGAACTCCCAGGA